TGGACCATTGTCAGCCAATAGTGTTCCTGGTTGCGGATCCGAAGTGCGAGAGATCGTCTGCTGCAGTCGTTCTCTTCAGCACCTTCGTGCATTTCTTTCATTACGTCGATGGTTTCGTCGCTGTTTAGACAACTGAGCAGGGCACCTGTTTTGGTCAATCGGAACAGATTTCCATTGAATGGAAATATTTGGCCGACTTCTTCTTCAATCGCCAAGCTGCCCATCGGTCTTCTAGTACGTTCCCGTCGAAGATGTACCGCAGAATATGTATTCGCCTCCGGGTTCTCGGGTTCCAATGGAAGAGGTGGCAGGTTGTTATCGCCTTGCGCATCTTCAGGGTTGTTATCAAGCTCGTTGACAAGAAAGTCATTGATTAGGCTGATTCCTTTTGACAGCTTGATGCTTTCTACTGGGAGTACGCGCCGTTGGGATCGGGTCAGAAAGAGAGGTCAGGGCGGCTATAGTGTCAGCAGAGGTGTTATCACTTTGGGGGATTTTAGTGAGGCTGAATCGGAGAACTCAGATGCTAATCCATGGACCCCCTTGAGCTACTCCTCCATGCGATCGTTTTTTGTCTCGTACTCACCACAAAATTGATTTGTGATGATGCTGATCTCTTTTGCAAGTCTCAGGCCAGCGATTAGGGCTTCATATTCTGCCTTGTTGTCTGATGTCTGAAATGCCAGGCGGAATGATTGTTCTATGTAGCTCTGGGCATTCAGGTCTTCGGGTCGGGTCGGTTTGGATTTTTCAGGTTTCAGATTTTTTGGATAGAGAAGAATTGTCCCATATGGGTCTTGGAAATTTTTTGGTTTGATTTGGTTTGGGTCTTTTTCGGGTTCGGGTCGGTTTCTTGATTTCAAATTAGAACCGATGTAGAACTGAATTTTTTTGGTTCAATTCGGGTAGAGTTTTTACCCGAAAAACCCGAATTACCCGAAATGTAAGTCAAAATTAAGCCTTTTGTCGACATTCGGATGAAAAACTCGCCATCGACAGTTGAGTCAGAGACATTTGATGGGATATGACGATCTCTGGTTTTGGAGTGTGAGCCATGGTTGGAGAAACGAGCTTCAGCTTTGAAAGCTTTGGTGATGGAGGTCGTGCAAACCCTAACTCAACCAAGCCTCAATTGAAGCCACTGTCAGATCGATTATTCGAGGCACTGAATCGACCTGCAATAACGATGCTAAGAGTTGTAACGGATGTCTCCGACGAGGACCATGAGAAGATACTTCAATTTGCCCAGGGTTTGAAAGAGAGATGAGATGAAGTGTCGAGATGAGAGAGTTCTCCTAATCGCGAGATGAAGTGAATAGAAAAATTAGAGGTGGGAAGGAGAAGAAGGAGATGAGATGATAGAAGATCAGAAGAGAATAAAAAGAGATGTAGAAGAAGAGATGAGGAAGAAGATGATATTAATTATCTTTTCACGTTAACAAAAAAAAAGAGGAAGAAAACGATACAATGAAAAAAATACTTTGTGAATTCTTTGTAGGTGGGCTTAATTAACAAAAATAAATTAGATAATATGAAATGACCCAACTCGGCCCATAGTGGATAATACCAAATTGATCAATAAACCAAAAATAGAAAAATATGGTTAATGTGTTTTAGGTTATTCCATATCTGAATGGTTCTCGAGTAAAAACCAAACTGAACCGAAACCCGAATAAAATTTGAAGAGGAATCATGGGTTATATTGAAATACCAAATTTGAACCAAACCGTATTTTTGGGTCGGGTCGGGTCGGGTTTTGCCGGGTCGGGTCAGCGACTCCAAACATATGCCGATTCCGGAGCCGTGCTTCGGGGCGGAGCTGTCGACATGTAAAATCCATTTTTTGTCGGGCTCCTCCCCTACTAGCTCGAGAGATAGCTCTACTCAGAAATCTGCTAATACTTGGTATTCTGCAACGGTGCATTTGCGGTAGTCGATGTCATACTCGCTAAGCTCCACTGTCTACTTCATCATTCTTGCTGACTAGCTTGGGCTGTGGAGGATCGTTCGAAAGGGGGTGAGTAGTCAGAACGGCGATTGTATGAGCTCGCCAAGCATTGGAATTTGATGAGCTCATTTCTAATGTTTCTTACAATTTCTGCGCCGATTCTAACGCAACAATCGCGGTTACTCGGATCAATGTTCACCTGGATGACGAGGGCTGGACGGTTTTCTTGGATTAGTTTCCTTGGGAGCTCTGGGGCAACAACCTGGCAGATCGATATGCCTTTTCCTTTTATCGTTGCGCAGAGCTGGGTGCGGGCAGAGATATGGATTTTATGCTCGATAATGAAGGATGAACGCAAGATCCATTGGTTGCTCTATACTGTGAATGTTCTGGATTGGTTGGGAAACTTGAGGCATTGGTGGTAGGTCGAGGTGATCGTCTTCATTGAGTGTAGCCACGGGGTTCCGAGTATGATGTTGTAGATAGCTGACTTAGGGTTTAGACAGGTACCCTGATGGTGCTGATCACCGTGATAGTATCTCCGGCGAGGCCGGTCAGAGGGGTGACGGATGGCTTCATCTCGATGCCACGAAGATTTATCTGCTCGAGGGTCTCTTTGAATATGAGATCAACCGAACTGTCCATATTGACAAAGACCCAGGTTATATTGTAGTCAGTCACGCGGATCTGAATGACGAGGGGATCATTGTGCGGTTGGTCAACTCCTTTGACGTCTGTCTCGGTGAACGTGATTCCCTTTCTGCTTGTATTCTGAGTGTTTGTGTCCCTTATCTTGGCCACGTACATCTCTGTCGGAGTGGTCTTCCTTTCGTGCAACTTGATTGACTAAACTGAATTAGTGCAAGAGAGGAGGCAACTCATGATCATTCCGATCATTGTCCGAGCTGGAGAGGGAAACTCTTGTCTTCGCGGTGCAGATTGCTGTTTAGCGGGCTGCCATCTATCTTCCTCTCGAGAGGGAGATCGTTGACGTCGGTTATCTCTTGGAGCCTGGTTATCGGTCGGACGTTGATTTTCCTGCTGACCGCGTCGGTTATCGATCCTAGATCGGCCATTGTTTTCCCGCGAAAGCTGCTGGTCAGGAACTCTGATCTCTCCTTTATTATATTGAGCTAAGAGGGCCTCCTAGAGCTTATGACACTTCTCGGTGGGATGCATTTTCCTTAGATGGAATTTGCAGAAGGCTTGATTATCCTTTTTCGCCCACTCCTGAGACGTTGTCTCTACGTTTCGAAACTACTTGTTTGACGGAAGAGACTGCTGTGGTTGATCTAGAATCAATGTACCAGGCCGGTTGTAATGCGTATCTCAAGCTAGGTGGGACCGTCTATATGAAAGGAGCTGGTGTCATTAAGAGGTTTGGGGTCTGACGAGTGGTACTGCTGGTCAGTGCAAGCTCCGGAGCAGGGGGCGGAGCTGATTGTGGTGGAGGAACCCCGGAGTCCGTAGGTCTTGGAATCTCCTTTGGTTTTAATTGAAAGTCGGCGCGAGCAACAGAAGTGCCACGTGAGTTACAACCTGTGCTGCCGCTGGTTGCTCGATAGGTGGTGTTGGTTTCAGAATTCCTGAGGATGGTGGTCCTGCCATTTCGAAATCTTCTTTGCATGTAGAAAATCTCTATATTCCTTCCTTCTATCACTACTTGTTGATTCAAGAGATCACTAAGTATGATTAAGTAAGATAATAGTAAGATTAGAGTGAGATTTCTGTAATTTAGAAGAGATTTGATTCTAGGCAAGATTTGAGTCGAAGATGAACAGGTCAGGGACCATGTTCTTTATATTAATCAGCTCAGTGTGCTTTACAACAGTGTTTAAGTGTTTTATTAAAAAAGAGAAATATAATGTCGAGAGCTAAAAAGAAAGTCTTCATAAATGAGCTTTCACAGCGTATTTATAGCGGGGGTTGAACAGACGGATCTCTGCGTATCCAAGGTGATGTGGTGCTTGCAGCGTCTTTTGGAGGCATGAACCTTAAGCCTTGTGTTCGAACTGCTCTGCGGATGTAGGTAACGATGAGTTCGTCGCCGATCTACTATACTGAGAGCACTGTTGGTAAACTGTTTCTCCACGTATCGATTTCTACCCGGTTTGGACCACTGTAGCTTGGTGCAATGATGACGTCTGCATAATAAAACTTGTTGATTGAGCGTGTCTGTTTTTTCACTGGACTTGATCAACAGACTTTAATTATTAAGATGGATCTAGCTCATTAGGAATGCTAATCTCACTTCTAATAAAAACTGTAAATAAAAATAGCATAAAGTAAAGTAATTTTTACTCTAAAATATAAAACCAAAATCAAGATTAAAATGTCTGTACATAATATAATAGATGTAACATTGATAAAATCTTAAAAAATAATAAAAAAAAGAAAATAATATCTAGATAATTATCTTATTTACTTGGGAAGAATCAAAAGCAAAACTTTAGAAAATAGAAGGAAGATTTAATGCTACAAAATTGTACATAATTTATCTCTCTCTCTCTCTCTCATAATATTCTCTAATATATAAAAATACTTTAATGTAAATTAATTAATAAAACATATTAAAGTTTTTAATTTAAAGAAGAATTAAAAATCAACTAAATTTCATATTATGATAAAAAAGTGTTCTAAATTATGTGTGTTTTTGAGATTTACAATATTTGAGTCAAATTTTATGGAATGAAAGGTATTAAATTAATGTATATTTAGGCATGACCAATCAATTTATGTGTTATTGAGTCCAGTTATTGCAACTAATGAAGAAAACTGAGTACATATAGTCATATATATAGTAAACACTTTGAGTAAGTAAATTTGTATGATTTAAATGTTCTTATCTAAAACTTTCTCCGGAAGGTAAGATATATGAATGAAGGGACAGATACTCTATACATGCATTTACTAAAATGTAATGAAAAAATATAGATTACCTACCCAACAAAAAAAAACCATACAAGAGTTATAAATACTAAGGAACATATTGTGATTTTGGAGAGAAAACAAATCATACAAAAAATACACTAAACAACGATAGAGTAGAAAGATGCAAAGAATGTGGGCGACGATCATGTTAGCTTTGATAATGATTCTATCAATATCTATACAAACAAATGGAAATGAGAAAAGAAATGATCTTGCACATGCTCCATCTACGGCATTAGCATTAGCACCTCAATCAGAGGATGGATTATTACCTAATCCTTTAGCTTGTGTAGGTGACGTAAAAACAATTCCAAATTGTGTAAAAGCAATAACGCACTTCAGATTCAGAGAGGTCACAAAGAAGTGTTGCACCATCGTAGTCAGTCTTCCCGAAGATTGTTTTGGGATTGTGTTCCATATTCCTTTCTTCTTTCGTTGGGTCCTTAAGATTATCTGCAAAATAATTAGTCACACTTGATAAGACTTTGTATTATTTCCTTTAGTAACCTTTAACAAACAAAATTATTTTCTTTGATAATTCTTACAATAAAATATGTAAAAGTGACAAATTATATATCAAAATAAGCTTTCGATTCCTCCGAACCTGTGCTCTTGATTCAACTATGGCTACGCGATATAGCGCAAAATATTTAATTCTTTCAGTCTCGTCATTTTTAAATTAATTGGTTTAAATTTTGTCTTTGAAGGAGTGTGTATCGTCTTGAATAACAAAATCTGTGTATTACTATGTTTAGTTATTGCAATTTTTTTTTTGTCGTCTGAGTTATTGCAATTAATGAAAAAGATTTGAGTTTCTTTATACTAAAATTTTTGGGAAAGCGAATTTTTCATAATTTATATTCTCCTTTTCTCAATCTCACACCGGAAATTAAAGTAAAGAATATAAATTTGGGATAATTATCTTCTATGCATGTACTAAAATGTAATAAATAAACATAGATTGTCTTAGCCAAAAGGTGAAAAATTGGCTTTTTCAGACACGAACTTTCCGAAGATGTTAAATGTATACTTAAACTTATGTATGGTGCTTGATCATACTTAATCTATATTAATATTTGAAATTCATACTTAATCTTCATTTTAATGGCACAAACCAACTTTTTAGTAAATGCTGTTAACTCTCCGTTAAACAATGTCTACGTGGATGCCACATAAGGGACGACGTTGTATTGGGTTTTCTCGGTTTAAAAAAAAAATACGAAACGACGTCGTTACTCTTATAATTATGGGGGAAAAAAGCAAAACCACGCCGTTTTGACTGATCTTCGTCTTCAACCCCTCACTTAACTCAGAGACGAATTAGGGATTTGTAAATCCAGACCTTCAACCTGTACATTCTTGTTCGAGACCGATATCTTCTTCTAGCAGTTTGGGTAATTTTTTATATGTTTTTCTATATTATGTGTTCGTGAGTGTGATATAGAGCCTGCATCTTTATCTGAGTTAACCAGCTCTGTATGTATAATCAATCTTGTTCCTCTGACATTAGGTAATATTAGCTGTATGGCTCTTTGCTTACACGACACCGTACAAGCCAGGGAGATACTCTCACACTTGCAAAGAAACTCTCTGATATCCCAACTCAGCTATAGATTCTCTCTATCTTCACAGGTTTATTATTAACAGAGTTTTGTCGAAAACAGAAGTTGAGTTTTTAGAAAAAATGAGTCCAAAGCACAATTTTATTGGTGAAAATGCAGCTATGTATCAGCAGTTGGGTGAGAAAGGGAGCGAGATGGAGAACGAAGAACACAGGAAGAAGAAGTGGGACGAGTTGCAGAGTAGACTTGATGAAACACGTGGATCAATTCATCACATTGAACTAGTGAGAAGACCAAAAATGATCTTTTTTTTTTCTGTTTTTTGCAATAAGTAAAAAGATCTGTCAGGCTTAACACACACTCTCTGCTTGTTACAGGTCGGAAAAGCGAGGTTAGAAATTATTCAAACGACATCCTTTGCATTTTTTTTTATCTGAAACCGAAGAAACCCAAAACAACATCGTCTCTTATGTGGACGACACATAAACAAAACTTGACAGAACAATTAACAGCGTCTGGTTAGTAATTGTTTTACGCACAAAAAATAAAGTTTAGAGACGAAATTCAAATAAAAACGAAGATTAAGTATGCATTTCAAATGTTAATATAGATTAAGTATGATCAAGCACTGTACATAAGTTTAAGTATACATTTAACATTTTCCAAAAGTTCAAGCCTGAAAAAACCAATTTTCCGTTATTATTGTGTTAGGAGTGGACGCAATCAAGCCTCTTTCTCCTGAGTGCAAAAAAGGCGATTATGTTTTTTTTTTTCCTAGTCGCCGCCGTTTGGTGAGCTGCATGGCCACCGACGAGAATTATGTCTTGCCTTACGCCTCCCCCTTCCTCTCTGCTCTTCAAAGCTTCCCCAAAACCTCCCCCTCCCCTTTCCCCCCTTCCCCACTTCCTCTTCCCTCTCCCGCTCCCCAAAGAGTTAGAGCTTAAAAGAGATGATGGTGGGATCGACGTTGTCAGGGTGATTTATCCCTGGCTTCCGCCTTTTTTCCTAATTGTAATGAGTTTGGTCATGGTCCTGCTCTTTTCCTCTTTTCACCCCAGGTTTCCCAGAAGACAAAAGGAAGCCAGGTGTTGAATCTCAAGGAAAGAAGGTCTCTGTCCAAGGCGCTTTGCTGGTAGCGTTGGATTCTGTGTTATTTGCCTCGTCAGGGGATCCTCGGGAGGTTGCTCAGCCTGGTGATTCTCAGTCAAATTCTGTTTCTATATCGGATCCGATCAGTTCTTCAAAGGTTCAATGCCCTACGGATGCTAGCATTTTTTATGTCAGTCCGCCTCCAATCTACAAGATTGCTTCGGGTATTGGTGAGAAGTCTCTTTTTATCCCAGCTAGAAACCTTGTTGCCTCGAAGCAGCTGCTTATTCATTCCTCCCCCCTAAATTCTTCTCATAACATGTATGGTGCCTTGGAGTCTCATGAGACGCCCACTATCCCTTCTGTAGAAGTGGCTACACCCCTTGTCAAGAGTAAGCCTACGATTCCTTCATCTTCTTCAAACAAGAACAAGAAGAAGCAAAAGAGGTACAATCAAAGATCTCCTTTCAACAGTGGCATTAGTTATTTCTCTAGAGGGGATCGTTACTCGAAGTCTCGAACTAATCTTTTAAGTTGGGTACATTTTTAAGAACATGCAGGGCTTAAACGAAACCACCAAGCATCAGCCTATTATATCCTGGCTGAATTCTCACTTAATATTTCTTTTTTTTTTTTAGCGCTTGTGGAAATGCATGCTGAGGAAATAAATAAGAACCAAGTTTTGTCCTCCATTGGTCCTGAATGGACTGCTTTATCTAATTATGTTTATTCAGATCTGGAGAAAATCTGGATAATTTATAAAGCTCATATTTCTGTTATTTTTTTGGTGGCTGATCTTCAGTCTATCACCTGCGATATCACCCTAGAGGATGGCTCCAAACTTGTCTATACTATCATTTATGCATCTAATATTGAAGAGGAAAGGAGAAATCTGTGGTCTTTTTTAGAAGCATTGAGGACTCTTTCATTTTAGCGGATATGTCTTTTGGATCGTCAATAGGGATTTCAACAAAATCCTCCACCATTTGGAAACGTCTAACCCGTCCATTGTCAGATCTTCACCTGTAATAAGAAGGTTTCAGGACTGTTTAGATGAAGTCGGCCTATTTGATCTTCCTTTCCAGGGTCCTAAAAATTCACCTGGCCAAAATCTCTTCCCTCTGATCCAGTTGGTAAGAAACTTAATCCTTGTCTGTTAATGGTGCTTGGATGGTTAAATTTTCATCAAGTCTTTGTTCCTTTGAGGCCCCCTAATTTTTTGACCACTCTTTGGGATTTTTCAAGCTTGCTACTGATCCCCTGAGATTCAGCTCGAGAGCATTCAAAGTGTTCAGTTTCCTGATTAAGCATCCTTTGTTCATGCCATGTCTGCAAAAAGCTTGGTCTGATGCAGGATGCCCTGCTTATTCTCTTACAAGTTTCTGCTTCAAACTCAAGTCCATTAAGAAGCCGTCGAAGTCCCTCTGCAAAGAGAACTTTAGAGAGAAATTTTGTGACATTGAGAAAAGAGTCTCAACTGCTCATTCTTTGCTCAAGGATCGTCAGCTCCTAGCTCTAGAGGATCCTTTTTCACTTAATCTAATAAACGAGAGAGAATCCAGAGAGTCTTGGTCTTCTCTTTGCCTTGCGGAGGAAAGTTTCTTGAGAACAAAGTCTAGAAAGTGGCTCCAGCTCGGGGATCAAAACATTTCCTTCTTCCATAAAATTTTGACTACACGAAATGCTGTCAATTCCATTAAGTTCCTTCTAAAGTGATGGGCTTGCGGGCCTAAGGTTTGTTTTTAACAAGCCTGTTGGTCCTCCAAAAGTTTTAAATTTATAAAACCCTAGTGTCTGCAAGTGCACAGATGTACGTTGTACGACTTAGGGTGTCGATCCCCATGGAGGATGTCTAATCTGCGAGAAACAACAAACTGAGAAAGTAAGCAAAGTTATAAACCAATGAGAATTTGGGGTTTTTGCTTTAGAGTTCTAAACTAAACCTAAACTAATATTCACAAGAAATAAAATGCAATGCAGGATGAATTGTTAAAAGAATATCTCAAGCATATCGACTCAAACTAAAAACTCTTAAACTCATAGATGGCGATTTAGACTTCTCCGGTTTACTCTAATCGATGTATGATGGCACTTCCAATTAGCTTCTGGGCGATTTATCTTTAATTCATCTGTTTCTGGGATCTGCATGGAACTAGATTAGATAAATGTATGATTAACCAACTCTCGCCATCTTAATCAACTAATCACTCAGAGCTGACAATTAACTCTCGCTCCATGCCAGAAATAAGATCATGCATTAGACATTGAAATCGTCTGCTCACATCTTCTCTATAGGTAGCTCTCGACTCCTATACCGACTATGTTCTTCTGAAGGTAGGTACGGATGATCTGATACAACACTCTCATGGCTCTGATCGATTATAGGCTCAGAGAATAGGTCATGAATCTAATCTCATGCAATATGAACAACTTAGAAGAGATGAGATCCAGAATATGGTTTAGAACTATAGAAATCCTAATCAATATGTATGCCTATCGAAATATTCAAACAACTTGACTCTCTGCGACTAATCTACATGATGCAATGAATGATAAAAGACATAGAAGAATGCAAAAGAATGAAACAGAAAAGTTAATAAGATAAAAAGGAGAAAGAACAATGGATATAGGGAAGAATCCCCATCTCCATCTCCTAACCCTAGAAAACAAAGTTTGGTGGCTCAAAATCTCATTACAGGAGCACACACCCATTTAGGGCTGCTAAGAAATGTATTTATAGGTCCTAGAGTCTTCCAGGTCTCATTTAGGGCTTTTCTGAAGAGGAATGGCGAATTGGGATTTGATGTTGGGCCTTATGGCTCGTGCTAAGGTCCACCGGGGGTGAGAGTCTTCCAGGACAGGTGAAACATGGTTTTCCCGCGGGTGAGAGTCTTCCGGGACTGGTGAACTGGGTCAACTTGTTCTCCATGTGTCTTTTGATTGCACCGTTGGATCTTTGTGATGTAAAGTGTTATGGAAAGCTGGTTGTCTCCTCTTGGTTGTCTCCAAATTTGAGCTGGATCGGACGGTGAGAAAGTCTTCATTTGAGGCTGAACTTCTGACGGTCTGATTTTAAGCTGAAAAAGTGGATTTCTTCTATTTTGCCATCATTTTTCCTAAGTTTTCTGAAAAGAGCCTTGAAACTACAAATACATGGAAATCATAATAAAAGTTCCTATTAAAACATTTGAAAAAACATTTAAAATCATTGGTGAAAATGGGTCAAAATCAGGTGTTATCAACTCCCCAAGACTTAAAACTTTGTTTGTCCTCAAACAAAACAAGATCCAATCTGGAAAAGTATCATTCAACAGAAATGAGAGGGAACTTAAAAATATCAGCAACCATACTTCTACACCTTAATTATGGACAATGCATCAATCAGATCAAGTCTAGAATATTCTCACCAAAATACAAACATAACTAGTCCGTCATGCGAAAATCCACACACTTAGAACTAACTTCCAATCAACTAGCTCTTAACATTCATTAAAGAATTCAGTGGTTCTCATCAAAAGGATATTAAACAAGGCATTCAAAGTTAGGTATCAAAAGGTTTTTTAATGGTAAGGCTTAATGTGTTTAGGGTTACCTTTTTCTGGAGAGACATAACATTATGCAAAACAGCAAGAGAGGATGGAACTGTAAATGCCCCCACAGTTTTCAGTCACATTCTCCTTGCTTTAAGATTTCTGATCTCCTTCTTCAGGTTTTCCTTATAATTCCCCCAGACTTAGATTTTTATCCACGTTGTGAATCCATAACTCCTTAAGTGAATACCTATTGCCCTGGCTCAAATAATTTTGGCTTCTAAGACTCTTTAGGCTTTTGGTTTCCTTTCCTTTCTTTCTTTTTCTCGTTTTTTTTTTGAACTGCCTTTTAACTTGGAGTCTTATGGAGCACGAAAATTACGTTTAAGAATGAGTTTTTTAAGACATCATGAGGCTTGCTGAGATTGCTTGGTACACTTCCTTTCTGGTTTCATTCAGTCCTTCTCTTGAGTGACTGAAAACTATGTTGTTCCTCCCTCTCCGGCGTTTTTGCACATATCTGTCAACATAGACTTAAAAGAGAGTGTATGAGGTTTGAAATGATGGTTTGGGTTAAGAGTGTGGTACCAGCTAAAGATGAACTGGTCATCTAGGACAACAAAGAGTGGTAACAATAAGGTAAAGATGTCCTAGATGTATATCATGATGTCTTCTTAAAACCATTGATGAGAAATTTAGATGTCAAGATTAAGTCCAAGTAAGATGAGCTAGTATATCCTATTAGAAAAAATCTCCATGAATAGAAGTCCTCTGACGATTTCGTAGTGTAAGTACTCTAGCTACCGCCTAGTCTAGTACTAAACCTTGAAAGAGCTTTTTATGAGCTGATGGTGTAGAAGGAAACAGGTTGGTCATCATCATCGATTTTGTCATTATTCCCTCAAATTGTATTTGACCTTTGAAAACACTTTTTGAAACTCAAAATACTTTTGAAAAGTTTTAAGAAAAACCGAAAAAAATCAAAATTTTTTAAAGAAAAATGCAGAATGCAAAGGCTCATGCAAGAAAATGTGGTTAGAAAGATATGAAATGCTCTCCCAAACTTAAATCACACTGTCCCCAGTGTGAAATAAACCAGGCAAGGACGAGAAATAGAGTATGTGAAAAATTTAAAAAGATTAAAGAAAAGAAAACTTACCTGGTGTTGGTGATGGAATGTGAGGTGGTTGTGGTGGTGGTTGGATGTTGAATGGTGGATTGTAGATGATATGGAGTGGTGCTTGATCCAATTTTCTGGATTTGAATTAAGGTAGATGTTGAAGTGGCCAAGGAAGGCCGGATGGTGCTGGCCGCGGATCAAGATGTCCCGGCCGCGGTAGGATGCGTGTTGGCCACAGTTTTGGACATCATGTTAAGACAAGCTCTAGAATCACAAAGTATGTTTTTAAACATTTCACCTCTAATAGAACAAGATATGAGAAACTGACCTGCACCTTCGATTTTGTGAAGTGTTTGAACAGGTTTACCTCTTCTGGCATGATTGAACAAGTCTTCTATTTCAGGGATTAATTCCTTGCTCTCGCAGAAGTAGTGGCCTATCATGAAGTCCTTGCAAGCTCTGGCAAAGGTGATTCCTTCAGGTAAATTTCGAACTACTTCATTGAACTCATCAAGCTTTTCTTTGCTGATTTTGTTGGTGTAGTAGCTGCATTCTTCAGGTCTTTGAAGGTGAATTGAATAAATTGCAGCATCAGGTGATGTCCTGGGAAGGGATAGGCGTCTGGCTCTCCCAAAGTAGGTTCGGATATCCTCCTTTGTCTCCTTTCTGTACCTAAAGAAAACTTTTAAGCAACCAAGATGCCATATATAATCGAATCCTGTATAAAGAGGGATCCTTTTCACAAACTTGTTGAATTCAATGAGTCTTTCCCTGGAGATTGGTGCTCCTAATTCCACCAATTTGTCTGGATTGCCTCCTTCTATGAACAGACGATAGTCTTCGTCCTCAAGGTATTATCCTTCATATTCATCTTCATATGCTAAAATTATGTTGCAGGGAAGTACCTCATCTTCTTCTTGAGATGTTTTGGAGCTGATAGTGTACACTGTTTGCTCAAGAAAAAGAGTCCTGGCCATTCCAGCAGGTGCATCTAATGAACACTGACCTGTGAGAATCGGAGAAGGCTGATGCAAATCTGACT